TCAAGTTGAACATTTCAAGTTTGAGAAAGATCATCCGGACATGTTTACTCCCTAGCTGTTTTATTGTCAGCTAAATGCAAATATTATCATACAGGACAATTTTATGGATCTGCGTGAAATGTTTTATACGATGGGTCTAAACAGACGGACCAGCTTACAAGCAAAAGTTTCTCTGCTACTGGCGATTTTAAATTATTTACATTCCATATAACTTTATTAGGATCGTTAAGATCTAACCTGTAACGACACAATTTTGAAGCGAGAGGAGGATCAATCCAAAGATTACGCTGACAAAATTGAACAACAAATTCGACCGTGTCCTAGGATTTTAAGTCATTCATGATTTTCAAATCTGGATAATCAAAGCTTGATTCCTGGTAGAATGGAAGTGTTATCTTTCTGCAAGGATTGTCAACTGTGCTGTCTGGAATCGATGGACTCTTTTCCACTATTTCCACAGTGATATTAAGTTAAAATGGTTGTAAAGCAAACAAACATGGTTATGATTTTTGGTGGGTACACTTATTTTACGTGACTATTTTTAGTTCATTGTGGTTAGGTCACTGAAATGTGACTTGAGGTCTAGAGGGTGTTAAACCTGTAGTTGAGACGTTTCTGATCGCTTTGCGATGTCTATCCTCGCTCGGCTGACTACTTTTCCGTTTATTACCATCTTCAGTAGTTTGAGCTATTCTTTTTAATCCATGAACTCAAACAAGAAAAACAGGGCTAGCAGCTAAGTACAAATTTGACATAATGACCATGAAACGTAGCAAAGTATCCATTAGAGTTCGTGGTTCGATTGACCGAATAAATTTTTTCAATTAATTAATCTTTACGCAAGGTATTGGTTGAGATAAAAAAGTCAGTGTCACGAGCGGGATTTGAACCCAGGACCTTCGGCTAAATACGTCGCTGCTCTACCACTTGAGCTATCGTAACTTCGAACCACCCGGACACCGACTTCCCATATCAACTCCACCTTTCGAGTTTTCCCACCTTTTTGCCATCTTTCGAATATCGTGTAGTCTATTCTATTGAAAAAGATTGTAGCAAAGTATATTAAAATATTTTTATAATTAAATATATTTATATATTATTATTTTATTTACTTATTTTTAATTTATTTTGTTGTATATTATACATTTTTTATATTTCATACCTGATTTAGTCAAAGTGAGTTTTGCGATTTGTAACTTTTTATATAGCTAATATCTTTGAATACAATCCTGAATATTATTTTTTAAAATGGGTAAAAAAATCGACTGATCTATAAAAACCTTGAAATATATATCAAATTCAGGCAAGAAACCCTATTAAAAAGTAAACTGCCTAAAACATAGATTATCTGAAGAAATTTTAAAATTCCTCTTTGATTAACAGCAATCACTGTGGGAAAGAAAGGAGACATTGTCTTGCCTCGCCCTGCTTATAACCCTGACGCCGCGAAGGGTTAGGCCACAGCGCATTTGTTGATAGATGTTAAGATTTGAAATAATTTGGTTTTTTTTGTGCTTCGGTGCGAATAAGGGGTGAAAAGTCTTGTTTCTTTACAAGGAAAATATAAAGAAATGCTTTGATGAATCATAGATAAATTATCTGGGCTTTTGCATATATAGAAGTATATATATATTCCTTTAATAAGATTTTGCGGAGTTTCATTTTAAGAAGAAAAATATCCAAATTTAAAATAATTTTTTCAATTTATCGAAAAATGGACGATTTTTTGTTGAATGATATTGTATTAGGATAACAACCTTGCTTAACAGACCATCGTAATTTTTTAACGATTTGCCGACTCCCGTCGTAGATGGCGAAAAACACCGACCGCAAATAATCATCAGTACCGCAGAATCAACATGTAATAACAGGAGTGTTCAACAGGTCAAACCAGATACGTCTGTTTTCCTCACACTATTTACCTTCATTTTTCATTACAGTTTGAAAACGGGCTGGAAAGATTCAGCCACCGCAATAGCCGGAGCTTAGGGTTTTTTCAAACCGCAGGATTCATTAGACAAAGAACTTTGGTAATAAACGACAGGCTAATAAAAGCAACCTTCATTTATTGCACATGACCCACCACAATTGCTTATCTATAAAAACAATTACTTAATAAAAAGGATAATCAGATTTAGGAGGCCGTAAATAGCAATCAAAACGTCGAGGTTGTCTTAAGCCTTTTTTTTTATAATTTAAAAAAACCGTCTGCACATGGTCTGATTTTTGATCTTTTATAATGGTTGATTACGAAAATACGCGCTAACTTGTTGAAAAAAAAATTAATTAAGTTGATGTGAAAAAGTTTATCTAAGGCAAAAATTCTTTCTCTCTCTCTCTCTCTCTCTCTTTCTCGTTCTCGCTCTCTCTCTCTCCCCCCTCTCTCTTTCTCTCTCTTTCTATTTATCTATCTTTCTCCAGTTCTCACACTTTCTCTCGCTTTCTTTCTATCTCCAACTCTTACTCTCTCTCTCTCTCGCTCAGTCCCTCTTTCTCTCCAGCTCTCACTCTTTCTCGCGCACTCGCTCTCGCTCTCTCTCTCTCTCCCCAGCTCTTACTCTCTCTCTCTTTTTCTTCCTCTCTCTCCCCATTTCTCTCTCTTTTTCTTTAGCTCTTACTCTTTTTCTCTCTTTCTTTCTGTCTCCAGCTCTTACTCTCTCTCTCTCTCTCTTCCCAGTCCCGCTCTTACAGTACGTACTGCATCAGAGAATTCTACCATTTGTAAGGCCAACCTAAAACATAAAAGGTAAATCCATTAATTTTCACAGAATTATCTAGTACCAACAACTGGCTATTAGACGGAGATATTTTTCAAGGGTCTGTCCATTCCTACCGTCCCGGATTCATACAGTGCCGATAACCCGTCGCCAGCATGACTAACGAGATACGGGTTTTGCATCCTAGGCATTTTACATCAGGTGGTTTCCTACGAAGGTGCCCCTGCACCTCGATTCGGGAAATTCCTAATTTCAGCCTTCGTGATGATCCTTAGGCTGATGTCATGAATCGAAAATCATTCGCAGCAAGCGGATTTTTTTCTACTACAGACTACAAACTAAAACAAATGCGATCACTTTACTCTTTTTCAACGAGAACACTGGTAGGTACTTTTATTAATTGTTTGTCGGCTTATTCAGTTTGTTTTAATTTGAAAAAACATATAACAAATTTGGACCAAAGATTTTGTAACAGAATGAAAACTAGCCTACTGGCTATCTACAACAGCGATTACTCTCTAGTCACACATGGGGGCCAAAAACCATGGAAAAGAAAAAAATACAATGGAATCAGCAATGAAAGCCGAACCCTTACAAATAACTACAAAACAAAAGAAGTTGAAAGCAGTAGAAGTAGAGGAGCCTTTTCTAAAATACAGATTGAACTGAAAAGAAACAGTGAGGAAGTGCTGGAGTCAAATGCTCAAATTTTGACCTAGGGAAATCCTTAGACCCCTCGCATTCAATTTTAAAGCTGGGATATATGCACATTGTTGTAGATATTCCTACAGACTGGTCAGGTTAAGTTAAATAGTGTTTGAAGAAAAATGTTTGCTCACGTGAAAGCGTATTTTGGCAGTTTTGGCTCAGACTTTCAATGCTGGGATGAGGCAGTCGTTATCATTGGTCGATGGTTGTGAATTACTAGTTTCTAAGCCGGCGAGCGTTTAGCTACTTTGAGCTGTAGTATTTTGACCGAGGGGAGCTTAAACCTCACACGTTCAATTTTCCAAGCAAAGATCCTTGCAGTAGAACTCTGTGTTTGTAGTTAGCTTAAATATGGCTATGGTTAGGGACTGGTCAAGTTAGGTTAGATAAGATTAGGGTTAGGCCTGGTTAAATTTGTTTAGATACTGTTAGGTTAAGTAGAGTTAGAATTAGGAACTTTTTACGTTAGTTTAGGTAGGGTTAAGTTAGGATAGACTGGATAGGTTAGGTTGGATGTAGATAGGGTCAGGGACTTGTTAGGTTAGGTTAGGTAGAGTAAGAATTAGAAACCTTAGAGTAAGACCTAGACCTAGAAATCGGTTAGAGTAAGGGACGGGTTAGGTTAGCGTTACGGAAACGTTTACGGACTTGTTAGATTAGTTTAAGTAGTTTAGGGCCAGGGATTTGTTAGGGTTAGGTAAAGTTAGTGTTAGAGCCAGGGACTTGTTAGGGTTAGGTAGAGTTAAAATTAGGATCTTGTTAGGCTAGTTTAGGTAGGGATACAGACGGGTTAGGTTAGGATAGTTTAGGTACGGTTAGAGTTAGGGACAGGTTAGGTTAAGTTAGGTAGGCTTAGCGTTAGGGAACGGTTATATCGGGTTAGATATGGTTATGTACTTTTAGGTTAGTGTATGTAAGGTTAGGCTTAGGGACCTTTTAGGCCATGTTCCATGATATTAGAGTTAGGGACTTGGTCAATTAGGTAGGGTTAGGAGGGACTTGGTCAGTAAGGTAGGGTTAGGCCTAGGTTTGGTACAGTACGTGTGAACAAAAAAATACTCATATTGGGACTGAAAGGTGCACATGTATATGTTTTAAGCGGCACTTAAGTCTTTTGACTCCTCCACCTTCAATTCAAAGCTGGCCTGGGAATGCCTAACATTTATTCAACGCCTAGGAAAACTTAATCAGTAGCTCTGATGTGGATTCTAAGGAGGGACTGAAGCCAACGTACAGGCTGACAAACTAGCAAAAAACAGGATCTAATTCTCTTTGGACCGAAACCGCAAATTGGCACGCCCCAAAGAATGCTAAAAGCATGGCGAAAGAAATAACCACACACCGGGTGAATTCACCAGGTGCAAAACGATCAAAGTTCCTGGACATTTCAATCAGGAAAGCATATGTACTTCTCCCTCAGGAAAGCAATGAGGAAAAGAATAGGCATTTAGATTGGCCATAGCTGCCAGTATAAATAAGGAATAATAAGTAAAAAAAATAAACCAGTATGTTTTTTAAAATAATTTATCGTTTAATATATTGTATATCAATTGAAAAAAACTACTCTTTTTTCTTTATCAGTGGAAGTAAATAGTATTGTGAATTATATGTAGATATTATATCTATTTTTATTTCCATCCATGATTATATGTTTTATGAGAATTCTCTTTTTGTAAAAACACAATTTAAGAGAGAAAACAATTATTACTCAGAAATAGAAATAATTGATTGATAGGTAACGCCTTTTCCAACGACGAATCATAGCCTGTTTGTAAGCCTGGGGATTGGACGAGTTAGAATTTTAATTGGACGTCCAATATTTCACCGTGGTGCAGCTAAACACGCAGAACGCCAAACACAACATCTATTATTACGGACGTGAAATAATGCGTGTGGGGGGCTTTTCTGGCCGTCCTCGTACGTCCCAGAGGCTTCCAGGGTAGATAATAAGACTCGAGAGCAAAGATATTCAGCCGAAGTCACGACGTGAATCTGAAATGAAGTAGGGAAATGTAGTTGGCGTTATGGCCTTTTTCATTATTATAAAGATGAACCTGGAAAGAATGTAAATCGCAAAACGGCTGCAACAAGGCACTTGAATGTAACCAAGAACGTCGAACACGTCACTAAACCAAAAAGCACTCTGAAAAAAAAATACGCCATGTACAACTAAAAATCACCATCCCAATAATTAAATTGTGTAAAATAAAAAAACCAAAACATTGTTTTCTGTCATTTTTAAGGGTTTAAAGTTTCGGGGACCGCGGTAGCCGAGTGGTTAGCATGAGAGACTCTTCACGCCGCGGTCGTGGGTTCGATTCCCACCGTCGCCTCTGGCCCTTTTTTCCCGATAACCCCCAATTTGAACACACAAGAATTCGTACTATGGCTAATATGCAAGATCATAAGGCAAAAAAAAAAATCAACCGAAACAAAAATCAAAAGTCAAACCGAGGCACACAAAAAATTATCTTATATCGTAGCAACTGTCAGCAAATGCGCGTTGGCCTAAAGAGACGGTTCGCGTGTTCAGGGATATAAACAGGGCGAGGCAAGACAACGTCTCCTTTCAATTTGCACGTTGTATTGCTGTTAATGAAAATTCATGGAAAAGTTAAAACTTCTTCAGATAAACAATGTTTTAAGTAATATATTGTTTTTAATAAGGATTCCTGCCTATGCTCTGAATGTATTTCGACGTTTTTATAGATCAGTCGATTTGATTTTTTACCTAGGGTAAAAAATAATATTCAGGATTGTATTCAAAGAGATCAGCTATGTAAAAAGTTATAAAATCGAAAACTCACTTTCAATAAAACAGGTATAAAAAATTGTTTCATGAAAAAAACAACAACAATTCAGCTTAGTTTTAAGCACCCTTTAAAGCCCGTAAATGCGAATTTTTATCAAAAAATAGTGATTTTTTGGGCTGGATTAGTTAGGGGTATTTTTTCTTTGCCGATGTCACACCAGACCGCATCTTACGATCTCCAAGTATTATATATATATATATATATATATATATATATATATATATATGAATGTATGTACGTATTTTATGTTATTACTAATGGAAAAAAGAAGGATTAAATCTACAAACACTCCTGAAAGTTTTATTGCATACCTCAGATTTTGATTTATAGACGGGGAGCGCGTTTTTGACGTTACGGGCAGTTTACAGGGTTCTAAATGTACGTAAAGTTTCTAGTAAATCAGTGAAGTCGTTTCGAAATTGTCCCATTTTTCTGATTTTTTACAACAAATCAGAGGCTGTAGGAAGGTGGAAAAAATTTGGGAAACACATGATAATTTTTAATTTGTCCAAACTACATCTCCCTACGGACCTCCATAACACCTTCAGTAACCCTGCATAACCACACAAAACTAAAAATGTAAACGGAAAATATGTGTACCCAGCACAACAACATAACAATGTTTGTTTGCTTTCGAACCATTTTTTAACCTAATGTCACACGAGAAATAGTGGAATAAGCGTCCACTGATTCCGAACAGCACATTTGACAATCAGGAGGAGTATCGTCCTGGCAGAAAGACAACGTTTCCATTCCACCAGTAATCAAGCTTTGATTATACAGATTCGAAAATCATGGAGGTCGTGAGATGCGGTCTGGTGTGACGTAGGTTAGAAAAACATTTTCTTTATCGTGCCAACGTTTCGATCTTTATTGAGATCATCTTCAGATCCTGGGATTTATAAACATTGTTTAAATTTTACAAATACATGCAGGATGAGAAAAACATGAATTTATACAATGCTAGAAAATTTTAGATTAAAAAGAAAAAATGAATTTATACAATGCTAGATTTTTTTCTTTTTAATCTAACATTTTCTAGCATTGTATAAATCCAATTTTTTCCCACCTCCTACATATATTTGTAAAATTTAAACAATGTTTATAAATCCCAGGCCCTGAAGATGATCTCAATAAAGATCGAAACGTTGGCACAATAAAGAAAATGTTTTTCTAACATCTACGTCACACCAGACTGCATCTCACGTCCTCCAAATAATCATCATGAATAAATTAAAATCCTAGGATACAGTTGAATTTGTTATTCAAATTTTGTCAGCTCAATCTTTGAAATTATCCTCCGTCAAAATTGGGTCGTTCCAAGTTGGATCTTAACGATCCTTATAAAGTTGAATCGAATCTAAGTAATTTAAAATGGTAAGTAGCAGAATTTTGCTTGAAAGCTGGTCCGTCGTTTTAGACCTAAATCTTTACATCTAGCTCCATTGGAATGACGATAAAATCGAGGGGTAAAAATGTCCGGTTGATTTGATAAGTACAACTTGAATGCCATAATAGTGGGATGGAAATCACAGGTAATTGCGTGCAGTGGCCGTAGCATACACATAATAATAATCCGTCGTCTGCCATGGATCTTCGCAGTTATATCTAACTAGCATCGTATTGGAATAATTTAAAATGGCAAGTAGAGAAATTTGTGCTTGTATGCCCGTTAAATTGTCCAGTATGATAAAGACATTTAGCGTACATCGTAGGGTTTGGTAATGAAAGATAATTTATGAAACACAAAATTATTATTGTTTTTATTCGGATTCTAACTTCTATATTAAAAGGAATGTCGGTGAAACTTTTCATTTTGAATTATTTTCAGACGTAGAACCAAGGGTTGTTGTTGTTGGAATGCCTGCAGAGTTTTTTCAGTGCCGTTTGATTTTCCACGGGCTTGATGAAATAGAAAGAAAATCGCCGGGAGCACGTAGTCCACTTGGAGTGTAAACGGGCAAAAAGTCAAACGCGAGATTGAAAATGAAGAGGTAGGAAGATTGCCGGCGATGTGATGTTTACACGAGAGAAGGTGGAAGGGGTTGACCATGGAGCTGTTTAATGCATTTCTTGTATGCAACATTGAAGACCTTGACTAATGTTGTAATTACAAGCGGCTCCAAGTTGAAGCAGACACGCCTCGTACTTTGTTAAATTACAACACAATTGTAATGTGTTCTCATAGTTAGCACCTCACGCGTTTATAAATCTTACGAGAAAAAAGGCGTGCTTAAACAGAAAAAAGGTCCGAGAGAGTTATCAGATGGATACAGCGTGAATGTCAATTACGTAAGTCCTACCATATGTTTAATGGTCTGTTTCGGCCGATAGCTCCTATGCCTTAAAATCTAAATCTAGTTGATTAAGTCGGAGGACTAAGAGAAGGTGGGGGTATATAAAACAGGTCCTAGCAGACCCATCTAACTTTGAGGAAAATGTTCACTCCATCCAGTAGATATCAATATGCGGTGTCAGACACTACTCCACCGCTCCGGATCATATCGATAAATCACATGCGACCGCTACTTAATTTATAGGCCGACTATTTTTTCTCATTACTAAAAGAATTAAAAAACTGATATTAAAATATTTCAAAAAGTCTTTACATTCCTGTTGAAGAATTTTTAAAAAAGGGGAAGAACGTTTGACTGGTGCCGGTGTTGTGCCAATTTCTGAGGTATTTTTCATTCAAGACTGGTTAAAGAGGAGAAATTACATGTTGAGACTACAACGGACTCTATTATTCCTTGAGAAAATTGTCAAAGGCTTGCCGTCGGAAAGAAAACCAATTTGTCTTAAGACGACTTCGACGCCATACGCTTTTTCCTTATGAAAGTCGATTATCTCGAAGCACTCTTCATTGTGGAGTCTCGTCGGACACCCGGGACTCGACTCAGGTAGCCAGGACGATTTCAGTTCTGGAGTTTCAAATGTGGATAATAAGAGTCCAGGTGTAATGGACATGTTGCCGTTCTGCGTGGTTGGACTGATTGTCGACTTTTGTCACAGATTACTTTAAACTGAGTGTTACTGCCGGCTGTCTCAATTTCAACAAAACAAGAAATCGGACTGTACCCGAGGATTTCAGGCACATCGTGATTTTCAAATGGAAATAATCCAAGCGAGTCCAGGTAAAATGGAAGTACTGTCTTTCTGTTGGGATGGTACTGCTGATTGGCAACTGTGCTGTCCGGAAGCAATGGATACTTTTCACTAATTTCCCAGTGACATTAGGTTAAAATGGTTTGGAAGCGAACAAACATGGTTTTGTTTTTGTGCTGAGTATGCATATATTACATGACCATTTTTAGTTTAGTATAGTTACATAGGGTTACTGAAGGTTTTATTGAGGTTTGTACGGTGATGAACATGTAGTTTGGTCGTTCTGATCAATTTGGTCTGCCTGTCATCGCGCATCTGTGTTACGGCTTATCGTCTTCATCATTGGTTTGAGCTATTGTTTTTTGTCGTTCCTTAACAAAAATAAACGAGACCGCAAGAGGAAACTACACGAGATAAATAAACCTGGCAAATACAATTTTTATTTAATGACCAGGAGACGTAGCGAAGTAGGCTAAAATATTTTTAGAAGAAAAAAAGTTGTTATTCGGTTTTTCAACCCAGAAAAACCACTGGATACAAATTTTTGGACAGTTCATTTTTTTAATAATATTTATTTGTATCCTGCACATAAATTATACACTTTACGAATTGTTCTAGTGGTATAAAAATCCCGGGTAAAACACTAACACTACGGCCAGTACTGCACGCGGAGAACACGTGTTGTGAGAAGTCAGCCAATGCTGACACAATTTGTTATCGGGTCCAGGCGAGGAAGTCACGGGGCCATCTTCGTTTGGGGCGACGTGGGTGGTTCTTGGGACGGGAAGAAGTGGATAGGGCTTGAGCACTATGGTTAGGATGGGTTGAAAGATTGGAATATAACTTGAGGAAGCGGGAATGGATCAGCTCATGGACGTAGGAATTTTAAGGTCATTTGGATAACGATAGTGGAGAAATAATAAGGAGTTTGGTGAATTCTTCTGAGGACTTTCGATTGAATAGCCTAATTCGTTGGATGTTAGATAGCTTGGTGGTACGGTTCCGCTTGTACAATTAACAAGGTAGGACTTTAGGATAAAGTAGTAGATTATACAGGTTTACACAGCATCACAATATTCCAGACCCGATCTACAATGGAAACCTTTAGTACTTGTCTTATCAGATTTCTTATCTCATTTCCCGTAATGCTTCGGTTTCGTAAAACCTGATGAATCTATAGTCTTTCTCGTCCGTAGACCTAGGTCGACCCTGTCCTGTCCTTTTG